TGGAGGGTTGTGCCAGGCAGTTTAAAGGGGATTTGCCATTCCTGCTGTTTAGCAACATTTTCTTTTGATTGAGACAAAAATGCGACAGCAATAAAGACTAAGATTGTTGCAACATGTAAAAATGTAGATCAACACAATTGCACCATTGACGACCTGATTTGTGGCGGTCGTCAAGACAAGCATCACTACTACTGTTGCTTATTCTTAAATAATTTTAATTAAAAAGTATTGGTATTAAACTTTGGTGCGTACTGTGCTATTTGTCCAGACATGAATGACCTCAAGCCACATGACTTAAAACGGGCCAAAACAATATCATAGACATATGGGATTAGACTTTCAAAACAGGCTTCATGAAGCTTCGAATTTTTTTCTTCATCGAACCAGTGATCCAGAGCGCACATCACACTGGCAAAATCATGTGATTTCAGTAAACGAGGATTTGTTACATCATCGTTTTGAAACTTTTAGTGGTTCACCGCCAGGGATCTCTGTGAACCCATGAACTGGTGTCTATATTTAATTTTTACCTGCTCTAAGATCAATTTGATACATTTGTAGACATTTAATGGCACATTTGTATAGTCTCTTATTGGTCTGATTAATCAAGCGCTCCATAAAACAAACAAAACAAGCCATACACATATTATAAAAACACTTCATAATGGTATTAGATGATTTTTTAATTGCATTTAATAGATCTTCCTTCAATAAAATATTTGTAATTGGTTTTTATGTATGTTTGTTATACACCGTTGTGACCAGCGTGTGGCCTTTTGAAGCACTTTAAAACAGGGAATCATTTTGAGAAGCAATTGATTCAAAGTTTCTTAAAGCTTAATTTCTTCCATCAATGAGCAATATTCAAGCAACCACAGAACACCTTAACAACTGCTAGCAACTTGCCTTTACTTTAAACCAACCATAAAACCCAAGCAACCAATTAGTATCACTATCACCTATTGAAACCACCCAGAACACCAAGGCCTGGATTCACAGATTTCACAGGATTAGGCCTTAGGACACTTAAGTAGCTTTTATAAACATGCCTTAAAAAACATTACTGGTGTGTATCTTGAGACAAAACAATGGCACTGGCATATTTTAAGATATGTCAGTGCAAGTTTCTTTCAAGATAAAACAGCTTAAACATGCATTTTAGTCTGGGACTAGATTTAAACCTTGTCTGTGAAACTGGAGTAGCCTATAATAACAACCACACCAACCACATCCCAGCAAGCAGCTATACAATCTTATTAATCATCCAAAATACCCTATAGCAACTGAACTGCCTAGCAAGCAGCAATATAGATATCATCCAGACCAACCTAGCAAGAAATGCCTAGAAAAAACTCTAGCAACAACATAACAATATGCATTAGTAACCACTTAGCAATGTGCTAGCAACTAGCTACAACACAAACAGTACAGAACCCCTAAGGGACATTATGGGGGGGAATTGAGATTGAAGGAAAAAATATATTTCAATGTTTTTGTATTAGGCCTACCCCGAGAAACTAAAAAAAAGTGTTCTCAAAACTGGTGTGATGTAAATAATATATTAATCAAAAATATTCAACAGCAGATTAATCATTTAAAAACATCCAAACAAACTTAACATTTTTGCTCCGTGTTCCAATATGCTAAACATCACATTTATCGGAATAGAGAACTATGGGTAATCACCCATGAGCTGTTGACAAGAAGTGAATGAGGTTTGTGGAAGAGAAAACAGTGAATGTCATGCTGTGAGAGATTGCAAACCACAAAATACAAGCAATATGGGTCAACAGGAGGTGAAGTGTGAAAACTGTCACTATAATTATGTCACATATGAATAGAAAGGCACTGATATCAGAATAGATCTTGGTGTTAAACAGCTCACCTGTGGATGTTAATGTGATTTTATTTTCTCTCCGGGGAAATAAGTGAAAAGCAGAATCCAGTGTCTGTCATGTTTATGATAAACATCTCCATGTGAGGCAGACAGAAATGAATACTTGAGTGGATATCCATGGAATCTTGAAGAGTTTCTTGTTGTTAGAATTTTGTTGTCAGTTTTTTTTATGTTTTTTTTTTTTTTTTTTTCTGAAACTTCCTCCACTGTTGCCCAAATTGTGCATACCGGTATTCAGACGTTGTCAATTTAAATGAATTGAATGCGATTCAATTTAAATTTGTTTACGCCACGTGCATTTCATTTATTACAGCGCATGCGCAATGCGTCAGTCACCACAAAAAAATAAATGTCCTAAATAAAAAAAAACGAGAGAAAATTACCGGAAGTTACCGCGAGCAAAATTGGTGTTTTCTTTTAAAAACGTGAAATATCTGATTTCGTTTGTATCTCCTAGGCAAAACATTAATTTTCCAAGAAACAATGTCAAGAAATGCTTGAACGCATTTTACGAGAGAACTCCCTATGATGCCTCGACATCTTATTAAACATGGGAAGACACGACAGGTGGGCCTCTGCCAATAAAACAGTTTATTACACTGTTTATTAAAATAAAACTGTTAAGCTGCCATTTTGTGTGACCAATAAAACGATCACACGTGTTATGTTAGAACTATAAGTTACCCATAGGCTATGGTAGCAGTTAATTTTTCATAACAATCAGAATTATAAAAACTAATTGAGTTATTATCTTCATATTCTTTGAATTTAGTCCTATTCTTCATAAAAGTCTACACTTAATTTCCTCTGACATGAAATAAAGATATGAAAGACCAGTGGGGTGAAGCAAACTACAAAGAAATATCTCATTTTAATTATAGGCTACTGTAGATATCAAAAGCATGCCCTGGTGTAGAGGAAGGATTTGCTTGAAGCACCACTGCCATCTTGTGTAAAAGAAAAAAAACAACAACGAATCATTCTGCAACATTGTCATGTAAAGATTATGCAAGGTGTATAATGTTGTAAAGCATTTCACACAATTAAGTTATGAAGGTGTTAAAGCGTGTTAATTACCTTAAACATGAGGTGAGAGATATAAGCTGGTAACACATAAAGCATTCCTGTAAGCGGCTATAGCATTTAAATAAGTAAAATCATTGGGACTTTAATAAGCTGAGACCATTCTTGCACGATCCATTTAGGATTTGATCAAATAAGATGTTGCACAATAAAAATGAAACATTTGCTATAGAAAATCTAACTGAAGTTTTCATTGAATCTTTTTCATGAATTGCAAAGCTAGGTTTTTAACCTGATATTTGGACAAATGCAACAGGTTGTATTTATTCCTTAACTATATTATAGCCATGTGTCTATGTATTATTCACAATAATGTGAATCTGGAAGATCTAGAGCAGAGTTTCTCAATCAGGGGCTCATAAACAAACTACTAAGAATTTGTGATGCGATAGAAATGCTAACAAGCACAGCAAATTTGGTTAATAATGACTACTGTTAACTAAACTAAAAAGTCAGGATTGCAGTTCATTTCTAATGCAACAAAAGACTCTGAACTCGTCAAATGAGGATGGAGACGTGTTTGGCCAACAGATGGTGCCATAACTTGAGAAGTGTTACAGCCTTTTGTTTGCCAGTTATAGTTCGAATGAAATGGTCGAACATGCACTATTATCCCTTGTGATAAACAGATGGGTTCTCTGTGTTTTTTTATGTTTTGCGTTTTCTTGACACATGCTGCACATTGAAATCTCTGCTACTGATTATAAAAATAAACATGCAATGAAGTATTTTTCTTTAATAGACATAAAGACCAGCTTTATTTTGTTCCATTACTTTATGACCAAACAAAACTTTCATCCAGTGCCCCTGTAGTCCATAGATTTAGGTGTGTGATTCATTACTAAACAGACAATAAGTATCAGTTCTTGAAATAGCAAATGTCAGACAAACTGAATGTTGCTCTCACATCTTTGTTTTTTTTCTCCGTACAATGTGAAGAAAGAGTAAGCATATAAATTACAAAACACAGTTTTTTACTCTTGGCTGATATTTCCCACATAAAATTAATTTAAGACTACAACTAAATATAAAATATTTCATTAGCTTAATTTATTTTAACTATTTGTTGTTTCCCAATCCAATTGGAAATGTCTGATTCCTAATTTAATTCTCTATCCTAAACCAATGTAAGGCAATAATGTTACAAAATAATGTTGTATATAGTTCCTGTTTTCATGTTGTGCTCCTTTTTTGATGAACATGATTATTTGTGTACTGCAGTCATAACCCATTAATACCAATACATCAGATTGCTTAGTTTCCACAATTTTACCACCCTTTTATCACTGTTTTATGTACTCATAGTTTTCCATTTCTTCCAGAATACACCAAAAAACCAGATCTAGACCAACCTCGAGAACTTATTCTGTGAAGTATAAAGTATATTCATTCAAACATTCACCTTAAGGGAACTGTAAGCCATTGTTTTAGATACAATTTTTCTAACATCGCATGTTAAGCAGTCAACAAACAATACATGAACAAACAGTGATTAAAAAAATAAGTATGTAGACAGATTGTCTTGGTTGCCACTGTTGCAGAATGTTTCATATATATATTTTTGTCTTGACCCTAAAAAGTATTTTTTCACGTTTAAAATTAAGACTTGGTTGTTAAATGTTAGTGGGTCATGTCCATAGATAATGTGATGAACTACACCTGTTGTCTCTATGTAAACTTGAGGGGAATGGACTTCATACAGCCACTTTGACAGCATTTGATTAAAAATAACTGCAAAATGAGTGAAGTTAGTTCTAACGTCATTTGTTTGCAGATGCCACTAGATTTGATATTTTGGTGTCTGATGGGGAAAAAAACATACATTTTAAGTGTGGATAAAGCATTCAAATACTTAATGGGATCACTGTATGCATGTAACTATTTAGTTTGTGACATATTTAAACAAATTAGCAGAACCTCCTGAGATCAGCTCTGTAACATTGTTTCAAATTGTTAATATTGTCAATCAAATTTCATGTTACAAGAGTAAGAGGTCCAAAGCGTATCCATACATTAAGAAAACTTTTTTTTTTTTTTCGTTGTTTTATTTACAGGGAACAGTAACATAAAACTCTGAGGCATAGTTTTGTTAATATATGATTAGAAATGCATTCTGTTTTCATTAAATTTGGGAGAAAAGGACACCCTTCGATGTAAACTAAGGCCATCTTTAGATTGTAAGGCTTAAAAGTTTGCAACTGTATACATGTTATCCCATCAAGCGATGTTTTAAAAGGGTCCATTAGCTGGTTTTGTGGCAAATATTTCAGGATTAAAATGGACATTTCATGTTGATAGGGTCCTTTGTCAATGCCATGCTGAAATTGCAAAAGTGATTTTGTCCCAATGTAATGTCTGAGAAAAAGAAAATCTCTGGCTTAAAGAGAAGAAAAGCTCCCTCTGTTGTATCCGTTTGCCAGATCGTAGGAGACCGGCGGCGTGGAGCAGTCTGTGAAGAAGTTTGAAAAGGTAAGTGCACATGGCGAGCTCTGTTCCACAGGCACGCTGCCAGAAAGGTCCGTGTGAGTATAAAGATTTGGCTGTACTGGTACTGTCCGCATGTCTCCCGACTTTTTGGGGGTGTCGCTACAAGTGCCCCAAGGCTCGGTGTACAAAAACCCACCAGTTACAAAATGGTGGGAGTCATATGGCTCAGGGCCCATGGTCACCTCCTGTTGAATCCTGATAGGTGCGGTGTGGAATAGATCCTGCTCCGAGACCATGTTGCTGTAGTCGGGTCCAAGAAGCTCCAAGAACTCTGCCGCTTCCGGAGTCCCTCGCTCCAGGTCTTTGAGCGACATGCCAGACGTGGATGTAACTCTGGAGCTGTTGGCTGGCTCCGTGAAAAAGGATGGAGGAAGGTTTCGATGCCGCAGCGGGGGCTTCTTGGCCCTCTCTCCTCGTACATCCTTCGCTGGGTTAAAGAGGGCAGCCAGGCTCTTGCTTTGCAGGTTGGCCTGTATCCCTTCCTTCTTGGGTGGTGTTTTGCTGGAGAAGTTGCTTGTTGGGTTTTGGGGCGAGCCTTGCTTCTTGCATGGCTCCTGAACCGGTGTGGTCCCTGGCGAGATGATACCCGTGCACCTCTTAATCTGCTTCTGCAGGTACTTTCGGTGGTTGACCTTCCTCTTGGACTTCACAGGTTTGTCCAGCGCAAGTTTGATGTTGCTGGAAGCCGAGTCGATGAAGCTAAGCAGGTCCCTAGTGGTCTCCCTAAAGTCACCCTCACAGTCCACCTCGCCCAGGAGACCCCCTTCCAGACCCTTTTCCACCTCATAATCCATGACCGAGCCAGGAAAACAGAAGTTTAAGAACTGAGAGTTCATGATGGCAGCCTGAACAGCCATCTCCTCTCTCTCTCTCTGCCACAAGCACAAGACCTTCACGCAGGATGTATGCAATTGTCTTTTCGAGACCCTAAAGCATATTTATTATCTGCATTTCCAGGGTGGTTTGCTAACCCTTGGTCCTGTGCAGGACACCCTTACAGTTCGTCTGCACTCTGTCGAAAGCTGGAATTTGGGGGAAGGGAGGATTATTTTAGGGGGCAGGGCCAATGATGTCAGGACATCAAAGAGGAGGGGCCGAGGGACCCTGGGACTTAACTCTTTGCTCACGCCTGACCACCTGCAACTAAGAGGGATTTGTTTGAGGCAACCCACAGAGTAAAAAGACAATAGCGTCGGGTTCATCTGTCCTGGTCAAGTCTTCTTGAATATGTCTACGTGAACATACACATTTTATGTTATGAAATATCTGAGAGCAACTACATTGGACTGCCCACTAGGAATCTGAATTACTTTGATCTTATTATTAAAGTTTTATTTGTTAAAACTGGACAGAACTTAATAGTTTGTAAATTAAACACCTGATCAAATAGGAAATGTTTTCACACACAACAATGTAGTTTATACTTTGTTCAAGTTCTTAGTGTGAAATACACTCTGAAACACCTTCTTTAAATGATTATTAAAATAATTTATCTGATGAACTCACTCATTTTTTAATTAGTGGTGGCATTGTGGCATTTTATTCCCATAAAGAATTCAAAAGTTTCATGCAGTGTGATCTACATTTTTGATTCTTTTCCTCATGTCTCACAAAATACACCTCTTGAATTTGAATGTATAAACTTGACCCAACCTTCCGGACATGTGCATTTGGTCCTGTGCATAAAGGTGAACGCTTAATTAGAGATGCATGCTTTGGGACAGGTACTGTTTGTTTGTTTTTCTACATGTTCTTCTAACTTCCTACAACTATCTTAATCTGTTAGTGGTGGAAGTTGATTCCTCGTGCATTCCCGCACCAGTGGGAATTTTAGCCTCTGCCTGACAACTATTATAGGCTGCCTTTGACATACAGCCCTACATGGTCTAAATAGCTTCTATTCTTCCTCGGGCAGTGAAAGGGATCTTTGTGCCAGAGATTCATTAAACTGCACCTCACAGCCCCTTCGTAAAATGAGGCTCAATAATGAACAGTCGATTTAACTAGAAAAGCTGCCGGAGCTGTTAAATTAAAGGGGAATAAAGTGCAGTTCAAGCCCAGTGTGCCAGAAGAAATGTTGACCTTAAGAAATCCTGGGTATGAGTGAAATAGCCGCTGTAAACAATTCAGCATTTGCAGGAAGTTTCTTGGCCAGCAGTGAATACTGAAGAGGGATCCAACACTGGGACTTTCGCTGGGGTCCGAACGGATCCTGATCTCAGTGAAAGCACTTGAAGGACGTCGCTCTAGTTTGGAACATGTTGGGCTTAGAAAGAAAACACTTGAGGATGTTGGGAGTGTTTGAATGAGGAGAGTATTGCTATCATAGATAATGTTTGATTTAGTGTTTACCTCAATCAAATAGCTCAGAAACAAGGATTTTTGCTCATTGATACAAAATGTTTTTTGACCCAAAGCTTTGAAATTTCAGGACATGATGACTTTTCAAAAATATTTCGTCAAAATCCCATGTATAGTTTGTCCCATGTTTCTTTTGAGAGCCCGTAGCCTTGTGTAAAGTCAGTTCAGATGCACTTAATCTGATCCAATTCCAATTCAGTCCACTAAACTTTACTTTCCCAGGCATTAAACACGTTTATAGCAGCCCTGACAAAGTTTCTTTTTTTATCGCATCCATTTCACTTAGCATGTTGTGAAATCACGCGCCAATGGACTGTTTCTGCCATACCCCTTTTCTCTCTCACTTTGAGAAGTTTTCCCAGGGATTTTTTTTTTTAAATTCCCACCCCATAAGTGCATTTTAAGGTGAGGCAGTGAATCATTTGGATGTTGGAAAGGGGGGAAAAAAGGAGAAAGTCTAAGCGCTTTTGAGAGAGGGGAACCATCGAGAGTGTTATTATCATGTAAATTGTGATGTAGAAAAGAGACAGTGAAACTGATAGCAGTGATCTAATTATCTGTAGCCCTGCTCTAGACCCGGTCCTGAATGGGGGTCCCAGAGAAGCTGCCATGGCCTCACAATAAAACTGTGTACCACAATAGAAAAATAGCAACAGTGTAAAAACAAGCTTTTTTTTTTTTTTACAGGATTCGCCTCCACGTTTCCAAAGTTAAGGCAATTTTAAACCACACCATAGTCCGTTTCTATCTCACAGAATAGAAGTGACCACTATGATATTTTTAATTAAAGGGACAGTTCACCGAAAAATGACAATTCTGTCATTAATTACTCACCCTCATGTCGTTCCAAACCCGCAAGACTTTCGTTCATCTTCAGAACACAAATGAAGATATTTTTGATAAAATCTGAGAGCTTTCAAAATCGTAAATCTTGTTTTGTTTTCTTTTTTTGAGTGTATCAAGTCCCTTGTATATATACGTGCTTGTCCCTTTAATTTTAGTTTTTCAACAAGCCCTCCTCTTTCTTCTGGGGCCTAATTTTGGCACTGTGACATCACCAGCCTAATGGCTGATATTTTCTTCTCTTCCCGCACAGAGCTTTTGTACATGCTAGTCATTCACGTTTAAGGGCTTGACGCACTAATTCCGGAAACAAGTTTCTATGGCCACATAAAGGCCAAAGGGATCAAAGAGGGTGAGGAGTAGAATACTGACAGCAGAAAAAGGAGGAAGAATTGTGTGACATTAAAGAGTACAAGGAGATTCCTAAACTTGCAAAAACTGGAAAGTCTATTTTATACTGTCAGTCCAACACATGAAGTTGAAAATAGATCTGGTTCGGCTGAACTGTTAATTAACGAATTCATTTATTTTTTTAAATATGTTTTGCAAATCAAATAATTTTGACCTTATGTGGACCTTAGTTCGGCAGTCTGTGGTTATTACACAAGAGTGAGAAATAATGATAGAAGTTTACATTTCTGGGTGAACTACCTAAATGAAAGTTTTTTTTTGAAATGGTGATAAAGATTGTGACACATCTAACTTTAAGAGATTTAAATGAGTTTTTCTTTTCATTACCTTGGACATTCATGCCATTGACCCAAATGCATATTTGTCTATAGCATCAGATGATGTGGTCTTTGCATGACAATAAATAAAAAAAAATTCAGGGAAAAACACTAGTGGAAAACAAATAGCAAAAGAAGCAAAAGAAATCAACAAGGTCAAACTAAGTTGAACAAACTCAGCAGGGGGAAGAACAAATGAGACGGCCGAGGGAACAACATTCATCTTTCCGCTTTCGATTCACGTCCATGGAAAGCTGCTTAAGCAAACGGACCATTGAAAGTGAGTATTGTTTGGTTATCGTTACACACCGGGCACCCCGCCCTCCACCCGGGGAATTTACAAACTCAGCACCCACTCTTTTTCTTAAACCCCGTTTTCCCTGGACTCCCTGCCCCCCCAGACACCCTTCCCATGCTCTCCAGTACGACAGTGGGTTTACACACTCACATATTTTCCCATTGGTGTGTGTGTGGTCTCAGTGTAACCACAACACATCCAGAACTAAAGACTCTCGGTCAGCAAAATACTAGCAACATATTTGATTGATGAAACTGTCAGGTGAGAAGAAAGGATGTTTAATGGCAACAACAGGGTCCTTAGAAAAGCGCAATAGTGTTTAAACCCCCCACTTACCCTTGATGTTTGTCTACATGTGTATGTTGTCAGTAACCATAAGTTATTCAGAATGGAAACTAAAGATTTTGTTCACTCTACATTTTTTGTAACATGTTGTTTACGCTTGAACGTCCAAGTGAACATCCAATACATTTGGTAACCATAAAAATATTGTAACTGTCGTCTATATAAACATTTACTGAGACCGAGTTGTTATTCCAGAAACATACACTTCTAGACAAAGTCATAAGTGGGAAAATTCAGTTAAAATATCCCACTTCCGACAAAATGTCCAGTTGTCTTGGGATACTTCTCACTTTACAAAAAGGATTTCCAACCCTATAAATAGACCTTGGGCCTCATTTATAAAATGGTATGTAGAAACCGTCCTACATTTGATCTAAGATCATTGCTCAAATGTGTGTCTGTGTGTCAGAGAAATAAACGTACGCACCAAAAAACTAGCTTACGCCTCTTTTCCCAGATGTGAAATCTATAAAATACAAATGATCTTAAAATTGTGCGCAGCTGAATGCTTTCAGATCTCTACCTTGTAAACGCCTCCTAATTAATGTCATTAACATATAAAAGAGCACCAGTCAACATCCAAATCCTTTACTTGAGAATGGCGAGTGGCAAGAATTGCTTAGATTTCCAAAAAAAATTCTGTAAGCTTGCTTAGAACCTGACATGGCATTTTTATAAATATGAACGTTGGCGTGAATTTTAGCGTATGCATATGTAATTATTTTTTAATTACAAGCAGAAAAAAAACACATGATGCATTCTTGCCTTTCTTGTAGCAGTATCAAACCCCAGTACTCAAGAGGGCGATAGAGTTTCCACGTGCACATTAAAAATGGTGTTATTATTCCATAGACAGTATAAGAAGTGGACAGAGCCATCTCATTGGAACTCAGTTGAGACAGTTGAAGCCCATTTTTAGCGATTTTTGAACACTTCCGTTCCTGACGCGCAGACTCAGACCGACTCAAACTAAGCTTGATGACGTGAGCAACCTGTCTGACAGACGTTACTCTTCTAGTAGCTGTGCGTGAAAATTGCCAACGTTAATCTTGCAGAGACGGGGAACTTGAGCAAAGAGTTCTTTGGCGTGAGTGAGCAGGAGTAAGTATTCCGTTGCTTTTATGGACTCATTATCTATGGGCTTCTCCCTTGACGGGACGTCCCCCCGATTGCCTGCGAGCTTCTCCTCCTGTCTGTACGGTAATTTCTGTACAGCGCGACAGAGAGTCGAGTGGTTATGACGCAATCGTTAGCCTATTTTTACAAAAACTGTTTTTTACGGGGCCATAATGTAACATAGAAGGTAATGGAGCCATTTATACATTCTCGTGTTTCTTTAGAAATAAACAATGGACAA